CAGGTCCTGATCAAAAACAACACCAAGAGTTTTTACTTTATTATCTGAAATCAGTTTAATCCCATCCAAATGAAGTGACTGACTAATCAGCTTCTTTTTCAGAGACTCTGGTCCAAAGACTATAACTTCTGTTTTGTCTGCATTCAGAAGCAGAAAGTTAAGAGTCATCCAGGTTTTTGTGTCTTCAGACATGCCTGTAATCTATGTAATGGGTTAGCTTCATCTGGATTATAGACAGATATAGCTGGGTATCATCAGCATAACAGTGGAAATTAATCCCATGCTGTCTAATAACTCTACCAATTGGGAGCATGTATAAAGTAAAGAGAATTGGTCCTAGCACTGATCCCTGTGGTACTCCACAGGTAACCTTTGAGCATGAGGAAGATCTATCATTAACATGAACAAACTGAATTCGATCAGATAGATAAGATTTAAACCAGTCTAGAGCTGTTCCTTTAATTCCAACAAAATATTCAAGTCTTTCTAAAAGAATATTATGGTCAACTGTATCAAATGCAGCACTAAGATCCAACAGGACGAGCACAGATACAAGTCCATTATCTGAGGCCATCAGAATATCATTAGTGACTTTCACCAGAGCTGTTTCAGTGCTATGATGAGCTCTAAAGCCAGACTGAAACTCTTCAAAAAGTTCATTATGGTGTAAGTGATCGCAAACTTGTTTGGCAACTATTTTCTCAAGAGTTTTGGATAAGAAAGGAAGATTGGATATAGGTCTATAATTGACCAAGTCATCTGGGTCAAGAGACGGTTTCTTAAGCAGAGGTTTAATTACAGCAACCTTAAAAGCTTTAGGTACATATCCCTGTAACAGATATAGATTAATCACATCTAAAATGGAGGAGGAGATCAAAGGGAATACCTCCTTAAATAACCTGGTTAAAGGGAATACCTCCTTAAATAACCTGGTTGGAACTGGATCTAACATCCAAGTTGAAGGCTTAGATGAAGACAATAGTTTTATTCACTCCAAAAGTTCAACTGGATCAGAGCAGTCTAAACCCGGTTCAGATTCCATGACTAGCTCAGATGCTGCCTCACCTTCCAGAGACAAACCAATCACGGATCGCTATGGCTCTGGGTGAGTTTGCAACTGTATTTAAGTTTCCCAGTTTCCTAGCATTTCGCTTCAGAGTGTGCGGCTCTGCATTAAACCAAGCTTTCTATTTTTAATGGTTTTCATTTTTAAAGGGGCCGCGTTGTCTAAGGCAGTACGCAGAGAACTAGCAACCCCATCAACAAAATCATCAACCTGTGAAGGGGAATAATCTAAGCTTTTGCACTCTGCAGCACTGCTCAGCTACACAGAGGAGAGAGAAAGTGAAGCAGATTCTTTAAAATGTATAACTGCACTATCTGATAAGGATCTACTAAAGTGAAACCTTCTTTTGGGGAAGGAGAACTCTGATAAAGTAATCCTGAAGGTTATTAGAAAGTGGTCAGAGAGGACAGGGTTGTGAGGAAATACTGTTATTTCTTCACATTCTATGCCGTATGTCAGCACAAGATCCAAAGTATGAAGATGAGAATGTGTGGGACCACTCACACTCTGAACAAAGCCAATAGTGTCTAAGATTGCATTAAAGGCTGCTCTTAAGCTATCGCCTTCAATGTCAGCATGGATGTTAAAATCTCCCACTATGATGACCCTGTCAGTATTTAATACCAAATCAGAAAGGAACTCTGAAAACTCATCTAAAAATTCAGAGTAAGGACCTGGTGGACGATACAAAGTTACAAAAAGAAGAGGTTTTCTGGCTTTGAAATTAGGATCAGGGAAATTAAGGGTTAAATGTTCGAAAGAGCTGTATGTATTAACTGCCTTTGTAGTAGAGACTGACATTTTTTTGGGAATCCCATGGTCACAGGATTCCCGTGGGATTCCCGTGGGATGGGAGTCAGTATTAGTAACGATCACGGGATTGGGACGGTACAGGATTAAACATTAACGGGAGCAGACGGGAGCGGGAGCAAACCAATAGTAACTTCCGCTCTGAGTTTTTCACCCGCGCTCAAAAACAACAAGAATGGGAGTGGTGCAGGAGCGGGAGTCATTCTGAATGGGAGCGGGATGGGAGTGGGAGTAATTTCACCAGGAGTGGGACGGGACAGGATTTAGATTTCTACTCTGGCCCGGGATCGGGACGGGACACCATTTTTTTCTGTGGGAGTGGGACGGGACAGGAGTGAAAATCCACTCCTGTGTCAGTCTCTACTTTGGAGTAATCAGTAAGTCAGACTGGAAGATTGTTGCTACTCCTCCTCCTCGCCCAGAACTTCTGTGGATGTGAAAATTTAAATAGCTTGAAGGAGTTGCCTCATTTATGCTCACATAATCTTCTTGCTGCAGCCAGGTTTCTGTAAGGCAACATAAGTCAATGTGATTATCACAAATCAAGTCATTAACTAACAGACTTAAAATAACAGAGTTATTTTAATTTTAATTAGATTATCAGGATTTACTCCTTTGTGAATCTTTGCTAATTTATTAGATTTTGGTCGTGGGCAAGACACTGTCTGGATGGAGTAAAGAGTGGGTAACAGTAGAGAAGCTGCAGAGATGTGTGTTAAACTACAACTCTGCTTCCTGGACAACTCTGCTTCCTGGTCTGCACCCTGGGTGGTCAGGGGTTTTGAGGACTAATAAATGTGGCCAGATTCCTAGAAAGAAGAGCTGCCCCATCCAAAGTGGGATGGATGCCGTCTCTCCGAATCAGACCAGGACCAACATCTGACTATGGTCCCTGATGTCTCTAATGCCACGTTTCTGACTATGGAGCTGCCAATCACCAGAATGGGCTTCTCAGTGGGTGTGTCACTGAGTGGGGAAAACCAGTTAGAAACGTGAACGGGTTGGTGGTGACCAGTGGGCAGAGATCTACGACTACGCTTTCTGCGTACAGTTACCCAATCGCCTGGCTGCTCAGGCACTGCTGGAGGACAGCTACGTGGGGGGCCTACTTTAACTCCTGGATGTTCAACAGCCTGAAGCCTGGATTCTAACTCTGACACCCTCGCCTCCAAAGCTACAAAAATACTACACTTATTACACATCCCATTATCACTAAAGGAGGCAGAGGAATAACTGAACATCTGACACAGAGAGCAGGAGAGGAAGAAGGAAGAGTTGGAAAAGAGTCAGGGGAGGGAGAGAGAGAAGCCATAGCAATGCTAAGCTAGCGCTACCCTAGGCTAGCTACTCCTTGCTACCAGAAATAAAACCGTGTGAAACTGACCAGTGCTCAGTAGAAAAGTGCAGCAGAAGGCGCTATGATTTCAAGTAGTTCTGGTCAGTTACTTAGATACAGAGATAGCGCAGAAAAAATAACTTAATTCAGACAGAGAACGACTGAACAGCAACAACACTGCTCAGTAGTCAAAACAGGAAGTGAAAATGATACGTCTCACCAAAAGCAGCAGTAGCACCCTCTAGTGGCAGGATCCTCCGACAATCAACAGTACCACCGCATACAAATGCTTTTTTTCTTTTTTTTTGCAGTGGTTTGAACATTAGTGTTTCATAACCTCTGGAAGTTACGGTGGCCGGGAAGTGCAAACCAACAATACAAAATCTGAAACACTTTTACAAATCTTGAAACAAATTTAGATTTCAGAAAACAAATTTACAACAAACGAAACACTTTTACAAATCTCGAAACAAATTTACATTTCAGAAAACAAATTTACAACAAACGAAACACTTTTACAAATCATAAAACAAATTTACATTTCAGAAAACAAATTTACAACAAACGAAACACTTTTACAAATCATAAAACAAATTTACATTTCAAAAAACAAATTTACAACTGACAAAATCTTACGGAAAGGGAGGGACTGTCTTCGAAGCTTACCCGGAAGTGATAACCGGAGCGTTCATGATGACCCAAGATGGAAGCGAATCGAGTTGCGTTTTGCCCGTTCTGCGGCACTCATGTGAGCAGTTTAACGCGGTTTTGTTTTTCCTGCGGTCGGTCCTTGGAGTTTTTAAATGGTACCGAACAGACGGAAGAAGAGGTCTTGTGCGAAATTCTGTTTCCCCGTGAAATTCTGTTCCCCCTGTGTCGGGAGCGCGCGTTGCAGCCAGAGAGGCGGATCTGCCCATTCTCAAGGGGCTCCTGATCATTTTTCAGGAAAAACAGCTCATATAATCATCTCAACTTTGTAACATCCATTTTAATCGGTTGCTCTTTTTAAAAAATTGTAAAATAAATACATTAATGAGGCCCTCTTACGCTGTTTTGTGTTGTTTTTTAAACGCCAAGAGAATCGGTATTTCTCCAACTTTTGTCCCTTCAGCCTGACAAAAATAAACGTCAGTCACCGAACACAACAACACGTAGTGTATTTTTAATTTTTCAATGCTGATATAAGAGGATGGAAACTGGCTGATAGGGCACACAGATTAAGACGTCCTGCGAAGATGAGAGAAGAATTTCTGGTTAATCACCTTCTAATGTAAAATATGACAGATTACTGGATTAAGGACATTTATAGTATACCACATCACACATATCAATTTTAGAGAAATTGGAAACAGTTGCTCTTTATTTCCCAAAGATATGGGAGGAGGAGAGGAGAGAATGGATGTTTCAGCTGCCTGAAATAATCTGTTCCCCCTCCATAACGGGAAGAAATTGATTTACCTGCAAGTCTTTAACTGTGCGTATTCCCCTCACCACCAAGAACAAATCCTGTGGATTTGGTCATATTTACTCTTTATTTGCAAAAATTAAAGGGGGGGAACAGATTATGTTTATGTACTGTTTTAGCTGTCTGATATAATCCATTCTCCCAATAACATGGGGAAAAAAATTACCAGCAAGTCCTTAACTTTGATTCAAAAAACATCTGCTCTTCATTTGATAAAGGCAAGAGGCCTTGGAATTTAAATCTTTCAATAACTATGTTAAAATAAAGTCTTGAAGAATAAATATCAAACATAGTTTTTAAAATGTCATTTATGAAGCATTGAACAACATGCATAAACCAGCACACCACAGCAAACTCAGGAACCTAAGGCAAACATGCAAAGCAGTAAAAGTTTTTTTCAGTTGGTGGGCTAGCCACACACGCCTGATGGAACCACCTCAGGCACATGTCACAGAGGATCTATGAAAGAAACCAAAAATGTAAAGTTTTATTTTAAAAATATGTCTTTGCGATTACACTACGCAATCAATAATTTCAGATTCCCTTATATTCCAATTGCTGGAGGATCCTATCAAAGCTTCATTATGCAAGATACAATTTGATAAAACTTGTCCTTATCATTTAACTTATACTAAATCTTTTAAAAATTCTAAAAAAGTTCTTCCCCAGTTCACGTCCGTGTCACTTTCCATCTCTCCACAGAAGTGACACAAGTCTTTTAGGTCATCTGGTAATAACAACATTATAAAAACATACACACACACATGATTATTCCAGTACAAACAATGTCCATAAATAAATGTTTTCTGATTCCATGTTAATGTATTAATTTTTGGCTAAGTATAGATGTTTCAGTGAAACATAGCCTACAAATAATGGTAATTGTGATAGCAATTGTCATTAACACTCAAAATAAGAATATTAATGTTATCCTCACCACTGTTAAGAATAAGTCTCACAGCAATTTCAAACCTCATGCTGTAGACTGCCTCAGTGGAAACAGGAAAATCCACAACCTCTTTTGCTAGGATCATTTCTGCAAACTGAGAGGTACAGCTTCATTTAATGGATTTAAATTGAAGTTACAAAGAAAGTATTCCCTGTGCATGTGTAAAAATATATATCAAAATCCTGAAGTCATACACTGTGTGACAATATGTATGCACCTTCGGTGCAAATGCACCACATGATGTGCTATCCTGTTGTTTTGGATGCTTGACAGTGTCACATGTCCAACGTGAGACATTGCACCCCTTCTTCCTCATAAATGCCCTGTAAGTATAGATACATTAATAAGAACAATTTTATATGACTTTAATTCTTCATTAAAAGTTTCATTTTAACCCTACCTTGTGATTTGCAAGCATTTCTTGATTTCTTGTTTTGATTCCCCCAGTGGATCCAAGAACAAAGACTTTTTTTTTTTGCGGATAGATCACCTAGAACGTGCATTTGACATTATTTATGTGGTTTTTGTTTATGAGATAAGTATGCTAATTAATGTTATTAAAGTAAAAAAAAATGTATTACCACTAAAGTCCAGTGGTGGTGTTGATTGTTTATTCCCAGAATAATTTCCTCATTCATTGGGTTCATCTGTGAATGATAAAAAATGAATTAAACATTTTTATTAATCAAGAACAAAGCATGTTTTGTAACACACAGGTGATAGAAAAAAATTGTTAAAAGGATATAACCATAAACATTTTTTTATTGATTCTAAATATATTACTAACACATGGAGGAGTAATACATATACAGTCAACTGCACATAATGAAATGTGTAAGATATACCTTTAATCTAGGACTTTTTCCCTGCCACATTGCTGTCATTGCAAAGGAATCTATGAACGCCGCCTGTCCCTTGTTCTGTCTGTTGTAATCATTCACGATGACAGCCAAAAATGCATTAATAGACTGCAATGTGTAACAAGAAAAAATATTAGTTATATACTTTAACTGCTGTGATATTCCTAAACAATATGGTCATTGTACCTACCTGACTCACCAGTTCCATGCCAGGACCAATTTTGTAAATGTCAGAGTAAAACAACTTATATGCATTCACTTTTGACAGAAGGACAAAGACGTTTTTTCCAGAAAAAGCTTCATGGACATCTGATGAGGAGGACGGGTTGAGGTGAAGTGGAAAAAGAAACAAAAGTTAAAGATTATTTTCATTATCATGGCACCTATTTCATTCAATTTTACAACATATTACATATGTTATCCAACGATATGCAATTCATATGATTGGAGAATGAGAAAGTATTAACTTCACAGATTCATTCAGCTACTTTGAACATAGCAATAATAATAAAGCTAGAACTGTTTTTTACTGACTCACTGAAATTATTCTTCATTAAAAAAAAGACTAAATTGCATATCCATACAAATACATTTTTAACAGACACATATGTATGATAATACAAAGTAAAATCTATGTGCTTTGATACATCCATCCATTTTATGTCACGCTTATCCCAAGCAGGGTCGTGAGGGGTGCTGGGGCCTATCTCCAGCTGTCTAAGGACGAGAGACAGGGTTGCTTTGATATATATTTATAAGAATTTAAAAGAAAATTTACATTTCTCTGCTAGGGATTTTCTCTGCGTATCAGGTGGTGCTGGAGCAGAGGGAGATGATGGGGCAGAGGGAGGTGGTGCTGGAGCAGAGGGAGGTGGTGCTGGAGCAGAGGGAGATAATCCTGGACCAGAGGGAGATGATGGAGCAGAGGGAGGTGGTGCTGGATCAGAGGGGAAACAGATTATTTCAGTAAACTGAAATATATGGTTCCCCCACTTTAATTTTTGCAAATAAAGAGTAAATATGACCAAATCCACAGGATTTGTTCTTGGTGGTGAGGGGAATAAGCACAGTTAAAGACTTGCAGGTAAATCAATTTCTTCCCGTTATGGAGGGGGAACAGATTATTTCAGGCAGCTGAAACATCCATTCTCTCCTCTCCTCCTCCCATATCTTTGGGAAATAAAGAGCAACTGTTTCCAATTTCTCTAAAATTGATATGTGTGATGTGGTATACTATAAATGTCCTTAATCCAGTAATCTGTCATATTTTACATTAGAAGGTGATTAACCAGAAATTCTTCTCTCATCTTCGCAGGACGTCTTAATCTGTGTGCCCTATCAGCCAGTTTCCATCCTCTTATATCAGCATTGAAAAATTAAAAATACACTACGTGTTGTTGTGTTCGGTGACTGACGTTTATTTTTGTCAGGCTGAAGGGACAAAAGTTGGAGAAATACCGATTCTCTTGGCGTTTAAAAAACAACACAAAACAGCGTAAGAGGGCCTCATTAATGTATTTATTTTACAATTTTTTAAAAAGAGTAACCGATTAAAATGGATGTTACAAAGTTGAGATGATTATATGAGCTGTTTTTCCTGAAAAATGATCAGGAGCCCCTTGAGAATGGGCAGATCCGCCTCTCTGGCTGCAACGCGCACTCCCGACACAGGGGGAACAGAATTTCACGGGGAAACAGAATTTCGCACAAGACCTCTTCTTCCGTCTGTTCGGTACCATTTAAAAACTCCAAGGACCGACCGCAGGAAAAACAAAACCGCGTTAAACTGCTCACATGAGTGCCGCAGAACGGGCAAAACGCAACTCGATTCGCTTCCATCTTGGGTCATCATGAACGCTCCGGTTATCACTTCCGGGTAAGCTTCGAAGACAGTCCCTCCCTTTCCGTAAGATTTTGTCAGTTGTAAATTTGTTTTTTGAAATGTAAATTTGTTTTATGATTTGTAAAAGTGTTTCGTTTGTTGTAAATTTGTTTTCTGAAATGTAAATTTGTTTTAAGATTTGTAAAAGTGTTTCGTTTGTTGTAAATTTGTTTTCTGAAATGTAAATTTGTTTCGAGATTTGTAAAAGTGTTTCGTTTGTTGTAAATTTGTTTTCTGAAATGTAAATTTGTTTTATGATTTGTAAAAGTGTTTCGTTTGTTGTAAATTTGTTTTCTGAAATGTAAATTTGTTTTATGATTTGTAAAAGTGTTTCGTTTGTTGTAAATTTGTTTTCTGAAATGTAAATTTGTTTTATGATTTGTAAAAGTGTTTCGTTTGTTGTAAATTTGTTTTCTGAAATGTAAATTTGTTTTAAGATTTGTAAAAGTGTTTCGTTTGTTGTAAATTTGTTTTCTGAAATGTAAATTTGTTTTATGATTTGTAAAAGTGTTTCGTTTGTTGTAAATTTGTTTTCTGAAATGTAAATTTGTTTTAAGATTTGTAAAAGTGTTTCGTTTGTTGTAAATTTGTTTTCTGAAATGTAAATTTGTTTTATGATTTGTAAAAGTGTTTCGTTTGTTGTAAATTTGTTTTCTGAAATGTAAATTTGTTTTATGATTTGTAAAAGTGTTTCGTTTGTTGTAAATTTGTTTTCTGAAATGTAAATTTGTTTCGAGATTTGTAAAAGTGTTTCGTTTGTTGTAAATTTGTTTTCTGAAATGTAAATTTGTTTCGAGATTTGTAAAAGTGTTTCAGATTTTGTATTGTTGGTTTGCACTTCCCGGCCACCGTAGGAAGTGGTGGTTTCCATGCAGCAGACTGTCCACGCTTAGTGCAGGGCAGAATGAAAAAATGTGCACACTGCAAGAGGCCAACTGGCACCTAACATTTGACTCACTCCAACCAGCCACTTGTAAACTTTGGCTTTTGCTTCACAAGGGCTAATTTTACCAGTTGGACAAGCATGTACAGCTGTGGGGAGATGTCTTCTTGTCCACTGGTGACTGCAGTGTGCTTTTCCACAGAAGTCCTGCCACACCATCACCACAAAACAGAGCACAAAATTACTGGGTTTAAATCTGTAGCTGTTATTTTCATTGCTAACTTTTTCTTTTTTCAGATAGCGATATATAACCAGTCTGCAATGGTGGAAAGTAATAAAGTACATTTACTATAGTGAAGTACTTTTCTGAGTATCTTTACTTTACTTCAGGGATTTCAGTAGTTATTCATTTCTTTTGGCTCAGCTTAGAATTGTAATCTGTTTTTCTTTCTGAAATGCAATTTTAACATACAAGATACTTTACCTTAGTAATAAATCTGGATGCCACTGTTGATTTGATAACCTTCCACAGATATGAGAAACTCAGGGCAGATATTATTAGTAGTTAATAATTTTATTAAGGTGTTAGATGTTGCCATGTGGCCGAGTTGTTCAGTAGGATGAGTCTCAGATCAGAGTTTGTTTCTTTGTGGTAAGAGATTCAACCTTAAAGCTACAGTGTGTAATTTTCAGCGACATCTAGCGGTCAGACTGCAGACCGCAGCAACATGAACATCTCCCCCCCACCGCTTCTCCCCCCCAACAGTACGGCGAGCGTTACGGGACAAAATGTCTTCCACGACGTCCGCATCACCTACCTTCTCAAGTGATGAGGTTTGTTTACATAGATAATTTTAATACTGCCATCTATTGTTCAGTACCGTCTCAGTTCATCTCTCTCAACTTGCCGTAGTTACTTTCGAGCGTAATGGGCGATCTCGCAATCGCTAGTTTGTTGGCTCTGCGCTGCCGTAGCGCAAAGATGTCTGCCTCCATGGCCGCGAGACCCGCTCCTATGTAATTATAAATAATGAATGCTAAGGCAACGCAAATATTAAGGTTAAGAGGCTGAGCTAGTAGATGATGATAAATAACATAGTTATGTATAATATATTACATTTCTGACTGTATATCCCTGTCATTATTACACACTGTAGCTTTAAACCTCTATTCCAGGGTTCACATACCTTTTTAAGGTTAAGGGATACTTCATGGTCACTGAGTCATAGGAAGGGCTAACAATATTGACCTATTAACTGGAGGGCTCAGCGTTCACCTAAACATAATAAACATATTTTTATTGCGTCTTTTAATTTCCAGTTTTCTTTTAGATGTTTTCATCTTGAAGTTTCCAAATGCTTAAATGCTTTACATGATTAATACAACAAAATGCTCTAAAAATGATTAAAAAAGAGCAACAGAATGATATAATACTTCAAAATCAACCCACTGGTGAGTTGTTCTGTTTTCAGAAGATGCTGTGGGCCCCTTGGTGCCCACAGGCACCACATTGGTGACCCCTGCTCTATTCCTTAGTGAAAGTGTGAGGAGAATCAACACACTCTTGTTTTCTTTTTGGTTTGTTTTTATATGAGAAATAATAATCAAAACTAGAACATTTTGAAAGAAATTTTGAAGAGGGGCCACCTACTGCCCGATCAGGGAGCCCGACTAATGGGGTGGGGCCCCCAAAACCGTGCCCATAGTAGTGACATTGGGGCCCCCCAGACTGATTGCTTATGCCTAAGAGGGCTCCTGAAGGACAGCAAAAGGGCAAGTCCCTTGGCACAGAGAGTTGTGAGTCCCATTGGCTGAAAGCTACGAAATAGAAGTAGAGAACTTATGAAACACAAGGGTCATTTTGGTTTTCCTTATTGCCTTGTAGTGATGAAAGCATCATTAGCGGGCTTAGGCTGCATGTTACGATGTTAGCAGATGCTTTATCACTGAGGAAATGGGACAGCTTTCTTTAGAAATGTGCACTCAGGTGTGTTGTCAATAGAACTTGGTGGTATAATTTCAAGAAATTGGTTGAGTTTGGCTCATAAAGATGAGGCGTATGCCAAAATGAATTAGTGTTTCTAATAAAGAAGCTTTTATTTTGTAGTGTCCGGAGTCTTAATTTGTAAGTCTATTAGGGTTGTGTGTTAAAGAAAGGACCAGACCATCAGTGATATAGAATCCATTTCCAGTTGTTAAATCACTGTTATTCCCTGCTATTAGGTGAATAGATCCTTTATTAAAGTATAAATCTGAGAGTTTTATTTTAAAATTTGCCAGGGTTGTGAAAAGGCCCCTATAGTGTAATTTAAACAAACTATTTGAGCTGGGATCATAGTGTTTAACCAAATTGTGCAATTAATGTCTGTGTATAATGTAGAGGGTTTATTTTGTAGAGTCCCTGGAGTCTTACTTTGAAAGTCTAGCAAGGTTGTGTGTTAAGTAAAGGGTCAGACCCAACAGTGGTATAGAATTAATTTCCAATTGTTAAATAAGTTTTCCCCAGTTATTGTGTCAATAATATATTATATTATATCATAATACAATATTTATAACGGTATAAATGAGGGACTTCTATTTTGAAAATTGCAAGTGGGTGTGTTTTAAAAAGGCCAATAGAGTCTAATATAAAAAAACTGGTTGAGTTTGGGTGATAATGTTGAGCCATATGCTGCAATTAATATCTGTATATAATGTATAGCATGGGTCACCAATTAAAAATCAGCAGTCTCCGAATGAAGAAAATCATCAACCAGTAAAGGTCCAGAGACATTTTTAATTATAATCTATTACTTTAAATAGAATTTAACACTGAAATAAAATTAGGTCTTTATGCATCCATGTTATACATTGAATAAATAAAAAAAAAAGAAATGTTTCCATTTTAAAATCTAAAGTGTTTTTGAAGTTGAGAACAACAATCGTTCAGTTTGGTTTATAGATAATTTCCTATCGTTTCTTATTTTCTTTCTTTTTTCTGTCTTAATGTTGGCAGTGGGCTTTAGGCTGCCCTGCAAGGCTTTAAACCTGGGTTTGAATGGAGACTGTCAGGATTTTATCTAAAGGACTGACCCTAAATGCAGAAGTCCAAACAGAGAGACACAGA